CTATTCATATTAAATATATTGTTCTTTCTCTAGCCTAACCTTGTTCTTCATCATGTATTGGTAATTGATACGATACAGTGAGTTGGTGTAGTCGATGGTGTGATTTCCACGTAAGATCTTATAGATTAGGCAGTTATATCATGACAAATCTACAAATTTAGGATTAGGTCTATTATTAGAGCAGTACTAATATCATAGTAGACTATAGTACTACAGGTGAACGAGAACTGTTCTTGCTTGAGCAGTTACTCTCCGTTATGTAGACAGCTAAATGGTTTTCAGATATTTAAATGTTCAGTAGATTTGTGAAGAGCAAGTACACACCATTTAATTTCTCGTGGCTAAAGTAGCTGCTTTGAATGTTTTACATCTGTCTGACGAAGTTTATTTGACCACTTGTGTTTAGCTAGCTAGAAAGAGCAGTCACTGAACCGCATGCTTTTAAGGTAGTGGTACGTAGGTTAAGCAGCCAAATCATTCTAGCTAACTTTGGTGAACTCGACAAGTAAACTAAACAAGGAGAATAAACCAACTTTATTGATTGTAATTGGGCTCCACATGTAATGAGAACAGCTAAACTTGTCTAACTTCAAGTATGGATGTTTTTATAGAACAAAGCCTTTTCAAAAGACACTGGATACATCAAAATTACTAATTCCTAGGAGCTAGCGGTAAGTCTCTCACTCTTATCGGTGGGGAACACTACTGAATTTCCATAAATGGACTGCATATTTGCCAGTATACCAGTAAAGTCAACAAATTGGTATCGTAAACTTGATTTCGCTCCACTGAAATTCGTTCATTCAACTTTCACGACTTCAGCAGGGATATGTAAGGCTGCGTTAGGGTCAACGTTGGAGTATTTACCAAGGTATTAACACGAACTTTCAAACGACACAGTTACTCATGTTATTCAATAGTTCGGCTTCAAATAATAATTGCTTCCTAGTATTTGCGTATTGATATTCAGCAGAGAAATATACACTCCTGTCCGCTCACTTGTTCTGCATTGGCATAAAATGGCGACCAACAAATCTTAAATAAACCATTTAGCCGTTAAGATATTGTTCATTATTCGAAACATCTTAAGAATCAAGGTGGTACTATTAATTAATTATTAATTTTGTAGCACTAGTAAAACCGTCAGAATTATCGTGGTTCTAAATTTAGCAGGACAACAGTGATAAATTGCATAAATCAGCCGGCCAGTGTGGACTGTCTCAATAATATTTCAATACTACTTCGACATCACTAAAGCACTCCCAAGCAAGTCAGTATTAATTCTTCAAACCGAGAGCAGAAAAGAGTGGTAACCAGGCCACGTGTGGTTTCGCGAGCAAGTCAACTCAACAAAGTGAAAGGTGTACAGTAATGAAGGATTAAGGTCTACGACTGTAATATTGCACTTATATATGCTACCAAAATAAAAGATAAAATCCATTATTGTGGACTTTCCATGGTTTAACTACCTGATCTTGCTTGAAAGCGTCACCATCGTCCTATCGTGACAGTCGCTAAGGCATTTTTATGAACCACCACAAAATGCATTCGAAGTAATTACAAAATAATTTTTTTGATGTAAAGTCTAAGTGCTTATATAATATAACCACGCCTGCGTGGCCGAACCATAAAATCTCGGTTGCATGTTTCCCCATCGAAATGTTTCCAAACTTCATCCAGTACTCAACGTTTATTGTAAGCCACCTCAGTCTTAGTGTGCTCAACTCTAAGGTCATTTGGTAAGAAATCAACGTCAATGCAACAATCTTTCACTAGAATCGACCTGAAATTGATTCGATTCAAGACCAGGTGGAATCATCGCATGCCAAATGTTGCCTATAGTCCTATAATAATTCTCCGGGTATAGATAAAATGGAGGGCAACTCAAAAATGGTGACAGGAACTGATCGTGAAATACATATATCAAATCTAAGGAATTTTTTTATCCTTGTGTTAATTCTATCGAAGCGTCCAAGTCACCTCGATTGAGATACGCACAAAATCGAAGTTCCAGAACAACGATTTGTCTACAAAAGCGGTTCTTTATTAAATAATACACAAAATTTAGTTACAAACCTTGTGAGGTGTCTAGGCGTTTAAACGCGTCGCTCAAGAATGAAAATAGCAAAGGCTTCCTGTAAGAGTAACATAAAGAATGATTACAACATACGATAGTCCAAAGACAGCCGATAGCTGTGTCTAAATTTGATAACAGTTTATGAACAACCGAAACTCGAACCCAGAGCAAACAATATGGAGACTGTTGCATTCAAACAAATACACAAAACTGTGGATAACCGTTACAGTAATTAAATTACAGTGATTATAATGATAAATACAATGATAAGTAAAATAAACGTTAAAGATATATGTGAACATTCCAGAATGTTGCAGTGCAACTTGAGTTACAACGTAAGTTTGAAAATTGTTGGGCACACAGCTGCCTACTGAATGTAAATAAGTAGTATAAAACAACATACAAAAGAGTAGAAAAGGAACATGTAGGAACAATGTAGGACAAACTTAACACCTTGATTCATGCAGAAGGAAAATTTAAGCACAGTTTATATGACGGTTAGAAGGGTTTGTCTACTTACTGACTTACTTACTTACTCCCGTTACTCCTCATGGAGGGGTAAAGACCGCCCACCAGCACTCCCCATCCAACCCTGTACTGGACAAGCCTTTCCTATTCTTTCCAGGTGTTATTCGTATTTTTCACATCTGCTTTTATTTCCCGACGTAATGTGTTCTTTGGCCTTCCTCTTTTCCGCTTCCCATCAGGATTTCAAGTTAGTGCTTGCCTCGTGATGCAGTTTGATGATTTGCGTAATGTATGTCGTATTCATTTCCTTCGTCTTTTTCTACTTTCGTCTTCAGCTGGAAGTTGGTTTGTTCTCTCCTAGAGAAGGCTGTTGCTGATGGTATCCGGCCAATGGATGTTGAATATCTTGCTCAGACAACTATTTATAAATACTTGTACCTTCTTGATGATGTTAAGATAATTCTTCAAGTTTTCGCTCCGTACAGTAGAGATGTCTTGGCTTACGTATTGATATTGATCGAAAGTCTTTTTCGTTAGACACCAACCCATTAGGACTGACCAGACTTCCCAAATAACTGAAGTTGCAACCGGATTTGCGTAAACTGTGTCCAAACCACCTCTGGTCGTTGGTTGTGGAATATCTTTTATAGACAGCTGTTTATAAATACCTGTACTTTTTTGATGATGCTTGTGGTGGTTCTTTTCATTTCTGTACAGTGGAACTGTCTTAATGTTTATATGGAAGATTCTGACTTTGATGTTGCCTGATAATTGATCTAGGTTCTGTATGTTCTTCAGTTATAGGAATTCTACCCTTGCCTTTGCATCCTCATCGGATCCTCATTTTTCGTCGATGGTGCTTCCTAGATATGTGGAAGTTCCCAACTCTTCCAGATCTCCATCGAGTGTGACTGAGTTGGTGTTCTCTATGTTATATTTGAGGATCTTGGTTTTTCCTGGTGTGTGTTGAGGTCCACTGATGCTACGCTGACTGTTTTGACCTGCATTTGTTGATGTGTATGGAACAGGAGAGCTAGGTCATCTGTGAAGTCTAAATCGTCTAGGTGCATCCAGGCTGTTTATTGTATCCCGTGCTTCCTCTGAGAAGCATAGGTCTTCATAGTCCAGACAATCACCAGAAGGAAGAGGAAGGTGGGGTGTAGACAGCCTTGTCTGACACCGGTCATTACTTGGAATGCATCTCTCAGCTGTCCTCTATGCACGACTTTGCAGTGTAGTTCATGGCATGAATTACGGATAATGTGAACGATTTTCTCAAGTACACCGTAGCGTCAAGGTTTCATAACGTTCTCCTATTCATACTGTCAAATGCTTTTTCATAATCCAGGAAATTGATGTATAGTGACGAGTTCCATTTAACTGATTGTTCTACAATGATCCGATATCTACTATCTGCTTTATTTGTGCTCCTTTACTGTTCTTACCGTTAATTTCAACTTGGGAGAATGTACTTTGACACTTTAAAATCATCCATGTTTGTGCCTGGTTCTGAGTTTGTTTTGACTGGCTGAATCTGAACTATGATTACTGAAATAATGTGTCTTATTTACATATCCGTGTCAGTTGCATCCTCGAAAAGTTTAAGAACTGCCCTAATTGTCTACCAGAAAAATTAGTATTTTCACTTTCTGTTGATACATTTAAAATAGTTTGATCCTTGAAAGTATTATTAGTTATGAGGCTTAATATAATGTGCCTGTTGTATCTTCTTATTGCTGGCTTTCTACCTATTTAAATATCATCCAAAAGCAAGCACTGGGATTAGGATTCTACTGATATTCGTTGCTTGACATTTTTGTGGTCTGTAATTCCTTTTTATTCGAGGATCTAAAATACAGTCTGACCGATATTTGGGGATGATGGGGTTTGAGGATATAGTTAGATAATAGCCGGTGTGTCTAGGAGTATATAATCTTACCCGACTAGTTGTTGTTGGAAACGCACAACACGGCATACCCAGACGTGATCTGGTGCAAATGAATGACTAAGGATATATAACTAATGGCATGTCCAGTGAAACTGACGAGGTCAACGTTAATATTGAGAACTTATGGAACCACTTATTTTGGAGATTTATTTATCGCTACAGGAGTAATATCCAGAAATGAGATACATGTCAAACTATAGGGTAGGCGCACTCTTCACGCTTTACGAGAGGAAAAGCTTTGAAATTGTTTGTAAACTAAGCAGTATCAAGAAAGTTCTCAGGAGTTCTTCAAGAGGAAGCTTGATTTATTAGGGAATTGAGACAATATTTCATACAAATTTATCTATATTCACGCTTGATTTATTTAATGTATTTAAGTCTTTGCTTGAAAGTAATGATGGTGCAGCGCTACTGAACATGTGAATCTTTTAGGCGAAAGTTTCCTCTAATTTGCTAAAAACCTTCCGAGTCATCCGAATTCCAGGCATTGTACATTGTGCACCGCCTGTTTTAACTTGTTGCGCCTCTTCGGTATGATTTGTCCTGGTTCTGTAAAGTCATCAGTCATTTAGGTCCTTAATATATGGATGATTCGGAAGAGGTAACATATTTTAAATGGAATAATTTCACGCTTTAGGATCCCGATCTTCTAAACGAAGAGACATTCGACTGTGCAGAGATAGGTTTGGGTCATTCTTATTATAATAACTTTCAGGTGACTGGGAGAACGAACATGATCAATTTGTGCAGAATTTTCACAAAGTTTCCGAAGAATCTCCAACTGCTGATGAACTACCAAAGTTCTGGAATGACACTGGTGGTCTTTCGTTCTTATGGCAAACGAATGACCTCGGTTGTGGTGTGACTGTGGATGATGGGGGCGAAAAAGTAAGTGAACAGATCACAGTTATATTTTCTGAAGGTTGTCGATGTTGAGGAAACACTTCAAAAGCTAGTATTAGATGAGACCTTTGAGGATCCTGCTATCCTAGATATATCCAGGAAGGTTTCTTACCAGCAGCTCAACGAAGACTCATTTCGGCATCTGAGAAACACACCTGCATATCCGACTGCTCCTACTGACATTCTTGATAGGAGTCGTGACATCTGGAGCATTGATGGTAGTTATGAGGTTGGATATGGAAGTGGCAAGATCAGCACAGCGTCCGATTGTAATATGAAGTCGAAAAACGTAATCGATATACTCCGATCATTAAATGTTTACCCTCCACCATCTGTCAAGACTGTATCTATACCACCAGAAGCTTCTACAGAAAATTACTTGTCACGTAAGGTAGCTACAGAATCTCAAACAAGGGAAGTCGGCACTGAATTATTCCCCAAAGCTTCTCAATCTTCAAGAAACCTCCAAAATATTGTACCAGTTAGTCAGCACAAATTGTATCCTAGCCCTGTGTTTTCTTCTGGGAATCGCGTCTGCCAGTCACAAGCAGTTCAAAATTCTCTATCTGTCCATGTGAGTGTTTTTCATACAACATTCGGAATTATGAATTTCTCCTTTCATTTATTGGGATTCTTATTATTTCTACAGGTTGTTAGTAATTTTACTTTGCTATTTCAACCCTCATAAATTTTAAAACCTCAGAATTTTCTTTGTATTCAAATGTTTCATTATTTAACTACCGTTTGAATTAACTAGCATTTTTTAAAAGCAAATACTCAACTTCAATAAATCCAAACTAAATCTATAAAGTAGGCAGTTGTAGTAGTGGTATTTAGTTCGACTTGTTTTTGTCACCTTATAAGGGAGCACTCGCACTACTCAAATTATTTATTTCCAAGAGCGAAATAACAGTAGTAGATGTATGTAACTAAACACACGTATTACTACTTATAACTTGTTTTATGCTTATCATCGGCCATCAACAATATATTGCGACGTCCCATTACTTTGAGTTTTAATTTCTCTGCCTATAAAATAAATTCAAGGGATTTCATTGGTGGTTGTAGTGGCATACTTCATTTGATGTGTATTTCTTGATGTATTTCCATTTAAGCCAGTATAAACATGATTTAGATAGAAATTCATACAATATTAATTCGTGTTTCATCACGAAGTCTTATATTTGACTCAACTTGTGGTCAGGGGTACTGAACATGCGATCAGTATACCATCTGAGCGGTACTTAACCGATGGATATTGACATATACTCGATTTTGTAAACATTAGGAATAAGTTCTGGATAGTTCTTTACTCGATATTAAGTCTAATAGAGTCTTTTTATCCATTTTAGTTAGCATATTCCAAGCTTTATTATTTATTTATTTATTTTAACACATCTCCGACCATGCCCTAATACGGGCACGCATCTGCTTGCGCCTCACTAGACGCAAAAAAGCCACATTAAAAAGACCCGTTAGAACTGATTTGAGTAACGAGAAAACCAAAAGTAGGTTCCAGGAACAACTGAGGTCACACTTAGGTAGTTGTGAAGACGAGGCTGACCCAGATGTTGCTTGGAAGGGCATACAATCAGCTGTGGAAACAGCAGTGACATCTATTAGTGACTTAAACCACAGAGTTGCAAGGAACCAGTGGATTTCTTCAAGGTCTGTCACACTGATGGATTCTCGCAAACTCATCCCATCAGGTCCTGAACATGATGAAGAGCGAAAACAAATCAGATCTAGGTTAAGAAAAAGTCTAAAGAACGACCGTGGGCAGTGGTGGGTAACGAAAGCAAAAGAGATGGAAAAGGCGGCGACTATAGGGAACACAAGACAGCTTTACAGACTAATAAAAGAAACTGGAATTAGTAAGTCAAGTGTAAGTGAGATTATTTCGGAAAAAGATGATACTCTCATCTGCTCCCAGTCCAGACGTTTAGAACGATGGGCGGAACACTTTAGGGAACAGTTCAACTGGCCTTCAGCGACTCTACAACTACCCTCCATTCCCAGACAGTGTGAATGGAACATTGAAATAGGTCCCCCTACTCTTGCTGAAGTTCAAAAGGCTATAGTTAATCTGAAACGAGGAAGGGCAGCTGGTCCAGATGGATTGGCTCCAGAGGTCTTTAAGGATGGTGGTCCAATTTTAGCGATTAAGTTGACTAATATTTTAGCTAAGATCTGGGAATTAGACTTTATCCCATCTGACTGGTCGCAATCACTTATCGTCCCAATATATAAGAAAGGGTCAAAATCATCCTGTGACAACCACAGAGGGATTAGTTTAACAAACATAGTTTCTAAAATACTGGCCTCGATAATTATCAAACGCCTAACTAAGACTCGTGAACTACAAACTCGAGAGAACCAAGCTGGCTTTAGACCTGGTCGTGGCTGCATCGACCACATATTCACCATTCGTCAGGTTCTAGAACACAGGCATACCTATCGGCGTCCGACGATGGTGGTATTTCTTGACTTAAAAGCAGCATTTGACTCGGTAGACCGCGAGACTCTGTGGCAGTGTCTGTCATTGAAAGGCGTACCTCAGAAGTACATAAACCTTGTGAAGGCTCTTTACTCGAACACTACTAGTCGAGTCAGGGCTTATGGCGAACTGTCATCTACTTTTGCAACCTCAAGTGGTGTCCGTCAAGGCTGTCCACTTTCTCCATTTTTGTTTAACTTCATCATAGACCTATTGATGGAAATAACACTCTCGTCGACTGAATTCTCGGGTATTGATCTCCTTCCAGGAGGTCCACTTATCGACTTAGAATACGCAGATGACATAGTCCTGTTTGGTGAAGACGCTGACAAAATGCAGAGTCTTCTGGTAGCACTAAGCAACAATGCCAGAATGTTTGGGATGCGCTTCTCTCCCTCTAAATGCAAGTTGTTGCTTCAGGACTGGTCTGCGTCAACACCTGAACTAAGGATAGGGAGTGAAGTAGTCGAACGCGTTGACAACTTCACTTATCTTGGAAGTGTGATCAGCCCTAATGGGTTGGTGTCTGACGAAATCTCAGCACGGATTCGAAAAGCTCGTTTGGCTTTTGCCAACCTGCGTCACCTTTGGCGAAGGCGAGATATCCGTCTATCAATAAAAGGACGAGTATACTGCGCGGCAGTTCGTTCTGTTTTAATTTACGGCAGCGAAACATGGCCCTTAAGAGTGGAAGACACCCGTAAGCTACTAGTATTTGACCACAGATGCCTTAGAAATATTGCTGGCATCTTCTGGGATCACCGGGTAAGTAATAGTGAGGTTAGACGCAGGGTATTAGGGAATGATGGTAAATCAGTTGATGAGGTTATGAATCTTCATCGACTGAGATGGTTGGGCCACGTGTTACGTATGCCCAAACACAGATTACCACGACGTGCAATGCTAACCGGTGCTGGAGATGGTTGGATGAAAGTTAGGGGCGGCCAAACCAAAACGTGGCATCAGTGCTTGAAGTCACTAACTTCTAGTCTGAGCCATGTTGGTAGATGCAGACTACTTGGTTGGGGTCCGCGTGACTATCGTAACCAATGGTTGGAGACTCTTGATGACATGACTCAGAATCGATCACAATGGCGTAGGTGTATACACTCTCTGTCTTCCCTTAAACTAAGAGATTAAAATCGCTTCATATCTTTCTTTCTACCAACTAATTCTTTCTTCCTATACTATATCCTTATTGCAACCTTTGACCTAACCACTCCTATGAATCCGGTGTTCATCTTGCTGTGCTAATGAGGTATGGCAACCTGGACCGATGCACATATGTGCCTGGTCCTACGTTGTAGCTGACTGACTGACTGACCATTTTAACACATAGATATTGGCACAAGGAGGCACTAAATACATATGCGCCACACAAATCTCATTCGATATGTGTGAGGGCTGTGATACTGCCCGGGTGCCCGAACCGAAGCAGGTGGTTTTCTTAGAGAGCCACACCCGGAGCCTTCGACCTGAAGGTCTGATCCACAAGACAGTGGAGCATCGTGAGGAGATGCAGCGCCATGGAAGCCGGTGGCCAACAATTGGTTCATACGCCATTTGTTCCCTTAGGATACTGGAGCCCATGTGCACCATTGGTTTGGAATCCGGTTAAAGCGCCCAACATTCGCTTTTCGTCCTCTCATTTTCGTAAAAAACACCCCCGCCACGAGAAGGCAGTGAGTAGAACTTCCCTGGCAGAGGCTATATACGCGTGGCCATGTGAGAGTATTTCGAGAGGGAGAGCGGACTCTCCCCACTCTCGGCCGTACCAGGGCATTGGGGGGCCCAAGCTTACAGAGTGTATCAATAGTCACTCACTTTACTGAGCAAACCTGTAAGAAAAGTTAAGATTTCCATTCAAATCTTCCAATCGGACTACATTGACCTAGCTTGTGTCTCTTAGGATCTGACCAAAGTGCAACTGAATTTCATATCTAATTTACTACCCCTGAAGTACGATTAAAAATTGTTATCTTCTTTGGTGGCGTGATAAGATCTAAGTTTTGAATGTGCAGGTTATCAATCATTTCCACAGGCACCATACATTAAATCTCTAAGGAAAATTAAACTTTGTTATGTAAAATACCCACCTAAAGCACGTGTTATAAGTGATTGTTCACTCGTAATGTCCGTTAATTAAAGGTGGAAATACACCAAGATAAAAGTTGGAAAATATCAGTCAAATACTAGCATTCTTTCAGTCCCAACGTTTTCTCGCAGTTTGGTGAAAGCTTAGAATTTAAATGTTCTTATAAGAGACTGGTATTCTAATAGGGTTAATCAACTGAAAACTGATTATGATCATACTATTCGAGTTATCCCGTAGAAAGTTGTTGATTCTCGTCAAATGAGAAATGTTTAACGACAGCCTTACTTACTTACGCCTGTTACTCCGATTTGAGCATAGGCCACTGACTGGCATTCTCCAATCCACTCTGTCCTGGGCCTTCCTTTCTAGCTCTATCCAATTGTTATTCATTCTTATGTCTGTATTCATTTCTCGGCGTAATGTGTTCTTTGATCTTCCTCTTTTGCTTTGGCCTTGAGGATTCCAGGTGGGGGCTTTCCTTGTGACGCAGTTGGGTGCTTATCTCAATATGTGTCCTATCCACCTTCTTCCTCCGTTGGAATCTGGTCTGTTCTCTCCCACAGTAGGTTGTTGCTGGTAGTGTCTGCTCAACGGATCCGAAGTATTGCTTAAACAACTGTTAATAAACACTTGTATCTTCTGGATGATGGCTTTCGTACTTCTCCAAGTTTCCGCCCCATAGAGTTAAACTGTCCTGATATTTGTATCGAAAATTCTGACTTTGGTGTTGGTTGACAGTTGTTTTGAGTTTCAGATGTTCTTTATTTGTAGACATGCTGCTCTTGCTTTGCCTATCCGCGCCTTCACATATACATCAGATCCGCCGTGTTCATCAATGATGTCGCCCAGATATGTATAGGTTTTTACATCTTCCAAATCTCCGTCAAGTGTGATTCGATTGTTGCATGCTGTGTTGTATCGGAGAATCCTGCTTTTCCCTTTGTGTATGTTATGACCTACTGCTGCTGAGGCTGCTGCTACACTGGTCGTCGTCTGCATTTGTTGTTGCGTATGCGATGGGAAAGCCAGATCATCTGCGAAGTTTAGATCGTCCAGCTGCATCCTAGATGTCCACTGTATCCCATGCCTCTTCCCAGATGTTGACGTCTTTATGATCCAGTCAGTCACCAGGAGAAAGAGTGAGAGTAAGCAACCTTGCCTTACACTGATCTTTACCTCGAACGAGTCTGTGACCTGTCCTCCATGCACTATTTTGTCGCGTAATCCATCATAGCAATACCGTATTATGTTAACTATCTTCTCAGGTACGCCGTAGTGTCGAAGAACCTTCCATAGTGTTCTCCTGTCCACGCTATGAAATGCCTTTTCGTAATCAATAAAGTTGAGGTAGAGTGATGAATTCCATTCAATTGATTGTTCCACAATGATCCGTAAAGTTGCGATTTGGTCAATACACGATCTATCCTTACAGAATCATGCCTATTGGTCACTTATTCACTCCCTTTTATTCCCACTTTGTGTATCCTTATTTTTCGACTTATACAGCAGCTCGCCTATGATGGAAACTCGGTTCTATCTAAACGTTCTCGAGTCACTGCCTGGTTGAAAATTATATGCTACCACCAAATACGAATACTGAAGCAGTTCTTCTGAAACTACGTGCACCATTCAAACTGGCTGCCTTCAACGTTCGCACACTTATGCAGGTCGGACAACAGATAGGAAAGTTTCGATAATGATATTAGAAGACGAAGATTATCGAAATTTATCAAAGGGACTAATTGTTTTAAAGATAGGAAAGTCTTAATATCGACGTTTGTTGTCTATCCGAGACCCGTATTCAAGACTCTGGTGAAGTACTACAAATTTGCTTTCCATCTGTCGTTCCGAAAAGCTTGTTTTAAATGTGTTTATCCGGGGACCCTGTGGCATCTTCGCCTGGTCTTGCTGGCGTTGGTGTCGCACTAAGCGCTAGAGCTGAGACAGCACTGATCGATTGGATCCCCATTAACAGTCAGCTATGTGCTGTTAGATTAGAGAATTCCATCAAAGTGAGAAGAAATCGGCGTGAGAAACGATATCTTTTCGTCATCTCCGCCTATGCCCCAACAGATTGCAGCCCGGATGCAATCAAGGATAAATTCTACCACCAGTTAACTGATCTCCAGAAAGTGCGTTCGACAGATATTGTAGTACTAGCCGGAGACTTGAATGCTCAGGTCGGGCATCTAGGCATGAGATTAATGCACGTATAGTGATTCCCGCCCGAAGCTGCTACCTTGATGCGATGGTCGGGCTTGCCTATCGTGATGACCCAAGTGAGCTATATTGACTGGAACATATGTTCCCATAGGTTCTACCATGCCAGGCAGGTCAATTGGAGAATGGTAAGACTACAAGCAGCAACTCAAGGTCTGAGGGCGAAGTCGTACTGCTGACTGTACAGAGGTGTGGTAGCAGTAAGGTGTTTCCCTCAGACAACCAGTATCTGCAGCGATACTGCCTTCTCACAAGGAGGGGTGGGGTTAGAAAAGGTCGACCCTAAAAACGTCACACCCCACCTTACCTCACGGATTTCCGTCTCCGGCGGTAAAGCCTATTGAAGAACGGAGCTAACACGTCAAAAACCTTCCACAAAATGGCCGTGCGCGACCGGCCTCAAGCAGTTGTCCCTTTGGCTCTGCAGTCACACTCCCATGTCTTTAAGACCAACACCAATCTAATTTCCTTCTCAGGTTCCTCAAGAAATACCCTTCCATGGTGTAGGCAGCCGGGAAGTGACATCAGCCCTCATACCCGTAACAGCACACGAGACCAAGTTGATCATATTCAAATCCTTCCTACACCTCCTAATACCTCTCTTATCTCCATGACTAACCCTCCTCATATCGCTTTATCACCCCGCACCGCTAGGGCAAACGATTCGAGTACACCGAACGTTATTCCTGGTCTCCTGAAACCACGCTCTAAACTACAAGTAGGAGCTTTTAACGTCCGAACACTGTGCCAAATAGGACAGCAGGCTTCCTTAGCTAAGACTTTAGAATCTCGCGCCATCGATGTGTGCTGCGTCTCTGAAACGCGCATACAGGATCCGAGTAGCGTCATTCACTTGACCTCATCATGCCAAAGTAAAGAACCAACTCGATTCCCACTTCGTGTATCTGGAAGCCCTGATTCTGCTTCCCGTGGCCTCGCTGGCGTAGGTATAGCATTGAGTCCTAGGGCAGAACTAGCCCTCTTAGAGTGGATCCCAGTAGACAGTCGTTTGTGAGCTGTCTGACTAAACGAAACAGTAAGAACTCGGAAAGATAGCAACACTCGTCGTTGCTTCTTCGTCGTCTCTGCCCATTCTCCGACTGACTGTAGCTCAGATGATGTAAAAGATGAGTTTTACAGAACGCTTTCCGGCCTTCTCCGAAAAGCTAGGCGCTCAGATGTAGTAATAGTGGCTTGTGGCTTTAATGCTCAAGTAGGTAAAATAAGCGAGAGGGAAAGACACCTGGGTGGATCTTATAGCATCGTGGCTCAAAGAACAGATAATGGCGACCATCTGTTGCAGCTATGCTCAGATAACCGCCTGTTCCTTGCAAATACTAACTTTAAGCATAAGGAAAAACATCTTTTGACATGGCGACCCCCTAATTCGTCCCAACGTTGGACCCAAATAGATCGCATCGCTATCAGCCATCGATGGAGGGGCTCGACAGAAGACTGTCGCTCGTTCTGGAGTACATGCTTAGATTCAGATCATGCTCTAGTGCAAGCGCGTATTTGTTTGCGTCTTACTGGGCGTAGGAAAGACGCTGCAAGCAAACCTCTTAGGGTCCTACTTAATGATAGCCAAGCTAAGAGTATATTTCAGGAACAACTAGAAAAACAGTTAGGCAGCCATGTAAGTGATGCTCACCCCGAAGCAGCGTAGAATGATATCCGAAAAGCTGTGGAAACAGCAGTGATATCTGCTGGTCTTGCTGGCGTTGGTGTCGCACTAAGCGCTAGAGCTGAGACAGCACTGATCGATTGGCTCCCATTAACAGTCAGCTATGTGCTGTTAGATTAGAGAATTCCATCAAAGTGAGAAGAAATCGGCGTGAGAAACGATATCTTTTCGTCATCTCCGCCTATGCCCCAACAGATTGCAGCCCGGATGCAATCAAGGATAAATTCTACCACCAGTTAACTGATCTTCTCCAGAAAGTGCGTTCGACAGATATTGTAGTACTAGCCGGAGACTTGAATGCTCAGATCGGGCATCTAGGCATGAGATCAATGCATGTATAGTGAAAGCCAGAGCGGCTTATGCCAATCTGAGCCATCTTTGGCGTCTTCGTGATGTCAGTCTGGCTGTAAAACGTCGGATCTACAACGCGTCGGTGAGAGCAGTTCTGCTCTATGCTTGTGAAACCTGGCCTCTCCGAGTTGAGGATGTTAGACGACTCTCTGTGCTTGGTCATCGCTGTCTCCGAAGGATTGCTGACATCCAGTGGCAACACCATATTAGTAATGGAGAGGTTCGGCATCGTGTGTTCGGGTGCAGAGACGATAATTCAATTGGTGTCACCATCTTGAAACATCGACTTCGGTGGCCTGGACATGTTCTACGAATGTCGTCCCAGAGAATTCCATGTCGTGCATTATTTGCCGACTCTGGGACTGGTTGGAAAAAGCGGAGAGGTCGTCAGTGTATGACATGGTGTCGTGATATGAAAGAAATCTGCAAAGGACTGGCTTCTGTTGGTCCTTCACGACTCGCTAGCTGGATTCCGAGAGATGGTGCGACACAGTGGCTAGAGACGTTATCAGATATGGCTCAGAATAGAAGCCAGCGGCGATTCTGCTGTAACCTTCTTTTACTTTCTTCATAAAAAGTGGTTGTGTCTTCCTTAACTGAAAGATTTCTTCTGGTTGTACCTTTCCGCTTACCCCATTATTATTATTATTATTATTATTATTATTATTATTATTATTATTATTATTATTATATGTGCCTGGTCCTACGTTGTGGCTGACTGACTGATTAGTATTGTTATTATTACACTACCTTACACTAATCTGGTCGTTATTGTTCTTCTTTTTTTTCTTTTACGCTCCTCACCTTTCTTTTTTCTCTTCCCATTCTCATTGTTTTGTGTGGCGCATGTATATTTGGTGCCCCCTTGTACCAATATTTTTTGTTTTCCAATAAATAAAGTAACTCGTCGTGGAGGGGCATAGGCCGCCCAGTAACACTCTCCATCCAACCCTGTACTGGACAAGCCTTTCCTACTCTTTCCAGGTGTTATTCGTATTTTTCACATCTGCTTTTATTTCCCGACGTAATGTGTTCTTTGGCCTTCCTCTTTTCCGCTTCCCATCAGGATTTCAAGTTAGTGCTTGCCTCGTGATGCAGTTTGATGATTTGCGTAATGTATGTCGTATTCATTTCCTTCGTCTTTTTCTACTTTCGTCTTCAGCTGGAAGTTGGTTTGTTCTCTCCTAGAGAAGGCTGTTGCTGATGGTATTCGGCCAATGGATGTTGAGTGTCTTACATAGGCAATTATTTGGGCTCTAAATGTAGCGACCGATTACACTGACACATAATGGGCAGGTCTGTTTTCAGACCGGTATTGCGTCAACAGATTTACCGGGGTAATATTCGGCACTTTAGGCTATCGCATTGTACAAATGTAGTCATTACAGTTTGTACATAATTTTGAGGGAGTTAGTTTGTTGTGTTACACGATTTTTATCTTTATTAATCTTCGTGCCTAACCATAGTGTGTTGGTTTAGTGAACAAATCATTTCATTTAGATTTTGTACTCATGGTAACTGCTAATATTCATAGATATCTGAACTGATAATCTTTTTCATTACTGTTGTTGACATAAAAATCCACTCTTTTTGTTATAGCAGAATGGAATACATGCCAATCATTTACGCGCTAACCCCTTTTCATTGGATATTTTGAAGGGACAGTTTCCCACTGATGCCAATGTTTTCCCCACGTTACCGGCAATGCAGTCTGTATTTAAAAATCTACATCCCTCAAAGTTGGATTACTCACAAATTCATGGGTAAGTATTATTTGGACTGAATATTCATATTTCATTTAGTCGTCGAATTTATGTTGTTAATGTATACAACTGCTATATTTCAAGAGTTGACCAGTAGAGTGGTGTCGTCTGCTGATATACATGAGATATGACTCAGTTTACCGTGGTCAACTTCACTAAATTACTACGTCAGAGACACTAAATGAAAAGTTTGCACGATGTAGGCGCGAACTTTAAGATCAGTCACGAAAATACGTTTGACATAAAACTTGTAGAGTATCACATTACGTAGAGGTATGTATTTGCACCCGTTTGTTGGAAAGAAGTCAGTTGATATAATCCACTCAATTTGTTTCTAGTTTCCCTGTAGTTGCGAAGTTTTTAACTCAAACAGTTTTCGTACCCATGTAATATATAAATGAGCTCGTCTACCAGGTATTTGGGTATGAGTTACACTCTAAGCGTGAGGTAATGATGTTATTCGGTTGCTCAAACCAAAGTGGGTAAATGGGGATTTATTAAGACGGAAACAGGTATATAATTCAGTAGTGAATTGTGCTTCTTAGTCGTCAGTCAATTTATGATTTTATAAATTATATGCACACACTAGATTATTGATTAGTTGCTAGTTAGTTCATTTGAATTTATCAAGTCATTATAGGGTCCGAACTTGGGACTGAGTGGTACCGATAATATCATCTTTTGCCGTTCTTTCTCGATAGCAGAGAAAATAAGTAAACTAAACTCAATTCGAAACCTGTTGAATGGGAGATCTGTGATAGACTGACAGAAAGTGAATAACCACTTTAAATGCACAATCGATAAGGAGAAAATTGAAATTACTTAGTAATAAATAAAAATATTCAACTATTTAATTCACCAGGTACCTGGATATCAACCCTACTCTAAGTGTGACGGCTAGTGATACTACTCGATCGTCCAAACCGAAGTAGAGTGGGGTTCAAACCAGGGGACCTGTTGGTTTAAAACTATTCATCTGAACACAAACATTAGTACTAAGAGCTGCCTTCTCACAAGGAAGGAAGGGGTTAGAAAAGGTCGTTCCTAAAAACGTCACACCCCACCTTACCTCACGGATTTCCGTCTCCGGCGGTAAGGCCTTTTGAAGAACGGAGCTAACACGTTAAAGACTTGCCACAAAAAGGCCGTGCGCGACCGGCCTCAAGCAGTTGTCCTTTGGGCTCTGCAGTCACACTCCCAGGTCGTTGAGACCAACACTAATCCGACTTCCTTTTCAGGTAGATTATTTATTTATTTATTTGAACACAAGAAAATATTGGTACAAGGGGGCACCAAATATACATGCGCCACACAAAACAATGAGAATGGGAAGAGAAAAAAGAAAGGTGAGGAGCGTAAAAGAAAAAAAAGAAGAACAATAACGACCAGATTAGTGTAAGGTAGTGTAATAATAACAATACTAATCAGTCAGTCAGCCACAACGTAGGACCAGGCACATATAATAATAATAATAATAATAATAATAATAATAATAATAGGGTAAGCGGAAAGGTACAACCAGAAGAAATCTTTCAGTTAAGGAAGACACAACCACTTTTTATGAAGAAAGTAAAAGAAGGTTACAGCAGAATCGCCACTGGCTTCTATTCTGAGCCATATCTGATAACGTCTCTAGCCACTGTGTCGCACCATCTCTCGGAATCCAGCTAGCGAGTCGTGAAGGACCAACAGAAGCCAGTCCTTTGCAGATTTCTTTCATATCACGACACCATGTCATACACTGACGACCTCTCCGCTTTTTCCAACCAGTCCCAGAGTCGGCAAATAATGCACGACATGGAATTCTCTGGGACGACATTCGTAGAACATGTCCAGGCCACCGAAGTCGATGTTTCAAGATGGTGACACCAATTGAATTATCGTCTCTGCACCCGAACACACGATGCCGAACCTCTCCATTACTAATATGGTGTTGCCACTGGATGTCAGCAATCCTTCGGAGACAGCGATGACCAAGCACAGAGAGTCGTCTAACATCCTCAACTCGGAGAGGCCAGGTTTCACAAGCATAGAGCAGAACTGCTCTCACCGACGCGTTGTAGATCCGACGTTTTACAGCCAGACTGACATCACGAAGGCGCCAAAGATGGCTCAGATTGGCATAAGCCGCTCTGTCTTTCAGTCAGTCAGTCAGTAACAACGTCGAACTTCGTTCGTACGTACGTACATCAGTTCGAGTTGCCACACCACATTAGTACACAGATACAATTGTTAATTCAAACCCCGTAGTGGTAGAGGTAATAAGAGTATAATCAGTAATCAGGAAAATTAGTGTTTGGAGATGTTATTTAAAGAGTATAATACAGTGAAATAAATTTGGAAAGAGGACAAAAGGGACATGGAGAATTCAGAAGATTAGAATCTGGGAGAACACAAAGAGTGTATGCACCTGCTCCATTGCAAACGATTTTGAGCCATGTCATTCAGGGTCTCTAATCACCGGTTGCTATCATCTCGCGGTCCCCAACCAGGTAGTCTACACATACCAACATGACTCAGTCCACTTGTCAGTGACTTCTTGGACTTGTGCCATGTTTTGGTCTGGCCGCCCCTAGCTTTCTTCCAACCTACTCCTATACCACTGAACTTCGCACGTCCAGGCAGTCGGTTGTTGGGCATACGTAACACGTGTCCCAGCCATCTCAGCTGATGAAGTTTCACTACTTCATCAATTGATTTGCCAACCTTACCTAGTACCCGTTTCCTAACAACTGTGTTACTTACTCGATAGTCCCAGGATATACGAGCAATATTTTGAAGACACCTATGATCAAATACTAGTAACCTACGGATATCCTCTACTCTTACCGGCCATGTTTCACTGCCATAAAGTAGGACGGAACGAACTGCTGCACAGTAAACCCGTCCTTTGGTTGATAGACGGATATCTCGCCTACGCCATAAATGACGCAAGTTGGTAAAAACTAGCCAAGCCTTCTGTGTCCGTGCTGAGATTTCGTCACACACCAGACCACAGGGGCTGATGAGACTTCCAAGATAAGTGAAGCGATCGACACGCTCAATTGCTTCACTCCCTATCATTAGTTCGGGCGTCAATGCAACCCAATCCTGAAGCAATATTTTACATTTCGAGGGGGAGAATCGCATCCCGAACATGCTTGCATTGTTGCTTAGAGTGATCAGAAGACTCTGCATTTTGTCAGCGTCTTCACCAAATAAAATTATGTCATCAGCATATTCTAAGTCAACAAGTGAACCTCCCGGCGGAAGTTCAACCCCTAGAAATTTAGACGAGAAAAGTGTTATCTCTAAAAGTACGTCGACGACAAAATTGAACAAGAATGGAGAGAGTCGGCAGCCGTGACGAACACCACTTATGGTAATCAATTCTAAAGACAGTTCGCCATAAGCTCTCACTCTACCAGTTGTGTTCGAGTAGAGAGCCTTTACAAGGTTAATGTACTTCTTTGGTACTCCTTTCAGTGACAAACACTGTCATAGAACCTTACGATCGACAGAGTCGAATGCTGCTTTAAGGTCGAGAAATACTACGATTGTGAGGCGTCTGAACGTGTGTCTGTGTTCTAGAACCTGACGTAGTGTGAATATGTGGTCTATACAACCACGTCCAGGTCGAAAACCAGCCTGATTTTCTCTAGTCTGCTCTTCACGAGCTTTAGTTAGGCGTCGAAGTATTATTGAAGCTAATATTTTAGACATTACATTAGTCAAACTGATTCCTCTGTAATTGTCACAAGAGGACTTTTGTCCTTTCTTAAAAACTGGCACAAGCAGTGATTGAGACCAGTCAGATGAGATTGCGTTCAGTTCGCAGATACTACCTATGGCTTCAGTCAATCTCACTGCTAATGCTGGACCACTATCCTTAAAAATCTCAGGCATAAACCTGTCAAGGTCTGCTGCTATCCCACGCTTCAGATTTCCTATAGCTTTTCCAACTTTGCAAAGAATTGGAGGACATACATCAACTTGCCATTCAGGTCGACTGGAGATCGTGGGAAACCGAAGTGTGGCTGAAGGCCAGTTGAATTGATCCCTAAAATGTTCTGCCCATCGATCCAATCTCCTGGATTGAGAATGTATAATATGTCCATCTTTCTCTGAGAGTGTTTCACTAACAGTCGGTTTCCTAATACCGGTTTCATTAACAAGTCTGAACAATTGTCTGCGGTTACCCATTGCCGCTGCCTTTTCCATCTCTTGCTTTCGCTTCCCATCGCTGTTCACAATCATTGCGTAGGTTTCTTATCAGCATGCGCTTAAGCTGACTCCGCTCTTCGTTATGTTCAGAGCCAGATGGGATAAGTTTTCGAGCACCTATCAGTGCGATAGATGCTGCTGAGACCCAGTGTTTCTCCCTAACCTTCTGGTTTACCTTACTAGCAGATATCACTGCTGTTTCCACAGCTTTTCGGATATCATTCTACGCTGCTTCGGGGTGAGCATCACTTACATGGCTGCCTAACTGTTTTTCTAGTTGTTCCTGAAATATACTCTTAGCTTGGCTATCATTAAGTAGGACCCTAAGAGGTTTGCTTGCAGCGTCTTTCCTACGCCCAGTAAGACGCAAACAAATACGCGCTTGCACTAGAGCATGATCTGAATCTAAGCATGTACTCCAGAACGAGCGACAGTCTTCTGTCGAGCCCCTCCATCGATGGCTGATAGCGATGCGATCTATTTGGGTCCAACGTTGGGACGAATTAGGGGGTCGCCATGTCAAAAGATGTTTTTCCTTATGCTTAAAGTTAGTATTTGCAAGGAACAGGCGGTTATCTGAGCATAGCTGCAACAGATGGTCGCCATTATCTGTTCTTTGAGCCACGATGCTATAAGATCCACCCAGGTGTCTTTCCCTCTCGCTTATTTTACCTACTTGAGCATTAAAGCCACAAGCCACTATTACTACATCTGAGCGCCTAGCTTTTCGGAGAAGGCCGGAAAGCGTTCTGTAAAACTCATCTTTTACATCATCTGAGCTACAGTCAGTCGGAGAATGGGCAGAGACGACGAAGAAGCAACGACGAGTGTTGCTATCTTTCCGAGTTCTTACTGTTTCGTTTAGTCAGACAGCTCACAAACGACTGTCTACTGGGATCCACTCTAAGAGGGCTAGTTCTGCCCTAGGACTCAATGCTATACCTACGCCAGCGAGGCCACGGGAAGCAGAATCAGGGCTTCCAGATACACGAAGTGGGAATCGAGTTGGTTCTTTACTTTGGCATGATGAGGTCAAGTGAATGACGCTACTCGGATCCTGTATGCGCGTTTCAGAGACGCAGCACACATCGATGGCGCGAGATTCTAAAGTCTTAGCTAAGGAAGCCTGCTGTCCTATTTGGCACAGTGTTCGGACGTTAAAAGCTCCTACTTGTAGTTTAGAGCGTGGTTTCAGGAGACCAGGAATAACGTTCGGTGTACTCGAATCGTTTGCCCTAGCGGTGCGGGGTGATAAAGCGATATGAGGAGGGTTAGTCATGGAGATAAGAGAGGTATTAGGAGGTGTAGGAAGGATTTGAATATGATCAACTTGGTCTCGTGTGCTGTTACGGGTATGAGGGCTGATGTCACTTCCCGGCTGCCTACACCATGGAAGGGTATTTCTTGAGGAACCTGAGAAGGAAATTAGATTGGTGTTGGTCTTAAAGACATGGGAGTGTGACTGCAGAGCCAAAGGGACAACTGCTTGAGGCCGGTCGCGCACGGCCATTTTGTGGAAGGTTTTTGACGTGTTAGCTCCGTTCTTCAATAGGCTTTACCGCCGGAGACGGAAATCCGTGAGGTAAGGTGGGGTGTGACGTTTTTAGGGTCGACCTTTTCTAACCCCACCCCTCCTTGTGAGAAGGCAGTATCGCTGCAGATGCTGGTTGTCTGAGGGAAACACCTTACTGCTACCACACCTCTGTACAGTCAGCAGTACGACTTCGCCCTCAGACCTTGAGTTGCTGCTTGTAGTCTTACCATTCTCCAATTGACCTGCCTGGCATGGTAGAACCTATGGGAACATATGTTCCAGTCAATATAGCTCACTTGGGTCATCACGATAGGCAAGCCCGACCATCGCATCAAGGTAGCAGCTTCGGGCGGGAATCACTATACGTGCATTAATCTCATGCCTAGATGCCCGACCTGAGCATTCAAGTCTCCGGCTAGTACTACAATATCTGTCGAACGCACTTTCTGGAGATCAGTTAACTGGTGGTAGAATTTATCCTTGATTGCATCCGGGCTGCAATCTGTTGGGGCATAGGCGGAGATGACGAAAAGATATCGTTTCTCACGCCGATTTCTTCTCACTTTGATGGAATTCTCTAATCTAACAGCACATAGCTGACTGTTAATGGGGATCCAATCGATCAGTGCTGTCTCAGCTCTAGCGCTTAGTGCGACACCAACGCCAGCAAGACCAGGCGAAGATGCCACAGGGTCCCCGGATAAACACATTTAAAACAAGCTTTTCGGAACGACAGATGGAAAGCAAATTTGTAGTACTTCACCAGAGTCTTGAATACGGGTCTCGGATAGACAACAAACGTCGATATTAAGACTTTCCTATCTTTAAAACAATTAGTCCCTTTGATAAATTTCGATAATCTTCGTCTTCTAATATCATTATCGAAACTTTCCTATCTGTTGTCCGACCTGCATAAGTGTGCGAACGTTGAAGGCAGCCAGTTTGAATGGTGCACGTAGTTTCAGAAGAACTGCTTCAGTATTCGTATTTGGTGGTAGCATATAATTTTCAACCAGGCAGTGACTCGAGAACGTTTAGATAGAACCGAGTTTCCATCATAGGCGAGCTGCTGTATAAGTCGAAAAATAAGGATACACAAAGTGGGAATAAAAGGGAATGAATAATTGACGTGGTAATAATAATAATAATAATAATAATAATAATAATGTTAATAATAATGGTGTGAATTGTTTGACTGTTAATCGAAGCGTGAATAGGATTTTCAGTAAATATTGTCATTTTCATTTTATTTGTGTGTGGGCTGTGATACTGCCCAGGTGGCCAGACCGAAGCAGGTGGTTTTCTTAGAGGGCCACACCCCAAGCCTTTGACCTAAAGGTCTGATCCACAAGACAGTGGAGCATCATGAGAAGATGCAGTGCCATGGTAGCAGGTGACCAACGATTGGTTCATACGCCATTTGTTCCCTTAGGATACTGGAGACCATGTGCACCATTGGTTTCGGTATTCGACCATAGGTGTCTTCGAAGCATTGCTAGTGTATTTTGGGACCACGAAGTAAGGAATGCCTGGGTTAGGAATAATGTACTAGATAAGGATTGAAAACCGATTGATGAGAAAGTTAATCTTCAACTGAGGTGATTGAGACATGTGTTACGTATGTCCAACCACCTCCTATCTCGATGAACGGTGTCTTCTAGCGTAGGAGTAGGGTGGAAGAAAGTTAGGGACGTCCAAATCAAAACCATGTGCACTATTGATTTGGAATCCGGTTAAAGCGCCGGACATTCGCTTTTCATCCTCATTGTGGTAAAGAACACCCTCGCCGCGGGAATGCAGCGGGTCTAACTTCCCTAGCAGAGGTTTATATGCGTGGCCGTGTGAGAGCATTTAGAGAGGGAGGTCAGGGCCTCTTCTCTCTTGGCTGTACCAGGGATTTTGGGGGCAGGTAGTGTAATCTGGGATGCATTTTCCTGGTATTTGTTAAAGTTGGAAGCCTCAAGTATTTGATTTATTTAATTCAATATTATTTTGCAGTTTAGCATTTATGCGAAATCAGTGCATCCTTCAACAACAACCACCTGTCGTTTCACCTGTTTCTTCAAGTCAGCACAATCCTTTGACGTCACCTCCGAGCGTTCGTGGAATAATGTTGCCAAATGTCCAACCCAATAGTTTTCCGCTTTCATCATACCTCTCACGTTTTCCTGTTCAACCAACAAATATCGAGTCGAAACAGTCTGTTAGTCTATCATCAACTGTTATACCGTGTTCAAAACAACCAACAGGATTCGTTGCTCCACTCGAGGAAGTGTCCATAGATAAAGAAAGCGACCCAAACAGTGGTAGTTGGATGACAGACTATGAAGCAATTGGTGTGTTATTGATTCAGTTGCGTCCTTTGATGGTATCTAATCCCTATGTCCAGGTCAGTTTCTTATTTTCTAAATGTTTTCAATTCACTACATTTTTAGTTGATTATGTGATTCTTAAGTAGCACAGTTGCCTGGAAATTAATGCCTCTACTCACTGAATGATTTTGTTGACCGGATCGTTTATATGTCTTTTCATTTACTGTTAATGAAACACAGGTGTAGTTCTTAGCACTTGATGAAAATTAATTTCTGAAATCGCTTATTAGTTAGTTTTGTAGTTGATTTCTTAGAATCATAGGTCACATATTTTCATGTCAAGGGGGATTAACATAAGGTATCAAGAACCATCCGGGTTTTTGATGATATTCATTTCTTCAATCGTTACCTCATCACTTATATACAGCAGAATGAATCACCACATTATTAGGGCTATGCGGTAATAAAAATGTAGTTCAAACTTCTCCAAATATCTGTTTAGTTAATATAATTTGGGCAAAATTTTCTGTTTTGAAACGTCTTTTAATATGGCTTTAAAGTTGATACACCATTTATTATCATCGAAATGATGGAATTTGACATCAAAATGCTCGTTCTTTGATATGATTCATGTAATGTAAGTTCAATGAAATCCCACTTGTTTAAAACTCGTTTCAGATCATTTCCTTCAAAAATAATTTGTGTTTTAACTTCTGATGATTTCGGCACAGTTAAGAGTTTCTTCAGTGGTTAATACGAATAAATAGTTGTTTATTTATCTCGAATTATGTATTCGAATTTCATATAACCAATTGTCAAATTTTGACATTTATTAATTAATCGTTGAATTCACGGGTCAATTGAAGCTAGACCACCATAGAAAACCTGGAAGCACTGGACGGCCGTTTCGTTCTAGTATGGGACTTCTCAGCAGTGCGCATCCACGATCCCGCCTCGCGAGATTCAAACCCAGGACCTATCGGTCTCGCGCGCGAACGCTTAACATCTAAACCACTGAGCCGGTATCCAATGGTGTTAATGTCTAATTTCAACCAATCCACGAAATTGCGCCACCATCCACTATTATGTTCAGTGAGTTACTATCTCACAACTGACCCGGTTGAATTCCACTGGTCACTGCTTCTCAGTAGAACTCCAGGAAATACCTTTTTGAGACCGTCTGTAGTTGGCATATGGTGATTATAATCGGAGAGGGGTTTTGTGGATATTATAGCAATTTAGTAATTGAAATCATGAGTCAATGGAAGCTAGACCATCATGGATGCGCACTCCTGAGGAGTCCCATACTAGGACGAAATGGCCGTCCAGTGATTCCAGGCTTTCCATGGTGGTCTAGCATAAATTGAAACATAAATTCAATTATTAAATTACTATGATATCCACAAAACCCCTCTCTGATTTATTAATTAGCCTATAATTTATCATGAGTAAATATATTTGGTTGTACGGCTTTGAAAATAAGCTCTTTGTAAATGAATTTCTTGCTGAGTTAATCATTTTATTATTCAGAAGGTGTTTTTAGAATTAATTGTATCGCATGTTTGTGTCTTTAAGACTATAAATTCCCATCGCTTGTTTATTCATCTTCAGATCAATGTCTCTTTTGATTTTGAACTTCTGAAGCCTAGTCGTTTCTATCTTGAATTAATGAAATGTATCAGTGTCCATAACTGAGTAATACCCAGAATATTGATTCTGTTACCAGTTATTCCATCATTTGACTTAAAATACATTGCTGCTTGGTATACTGTAATTCAGTTAATTTCTGTGACACAAATGGTAAATGTAGTGGTTGTTTTATTCAGCCAAATTTTTAATTTAACCGTATAGTAGTTCCTCCATTTTGAGACATAATCTCACCATTATAGTTGTTTTAACTTTCCAGCTATACAACAAAGTAAAAATAAATAAAATCAGAAAATTAGCTAATTTCTAAGCTTTACTTTTGTTTAGGTATCCATGTATTGCTCTCAATGTACCTGAGCGTCTTTCTTTTTTTCGTGAACAAGTCTAGTGATCATATTGTATACTGATTCTTTACTCAAGGACTACTAATCATTATTTCTCTTGCCAGGATTATTATTTCGCATCTCAATGGTTGCGACGAATAAATGCTATTCAATCTAAACATATTTCAAAAGTTAAAATGAACACTACAACTTCACCAGCAACAGTGCAACTTCCAATTCCTATACCACTTGAAAGCTTAAGCGATTCCAATTCACCGTACCAAGTAACTCTGAAACATAAACTTGTTATTCCTTTTCGAGCTGTGAATCGCCATCCTAGTTTTGACCAAAATATAGATGAAAATTGTGATAGCTTAGAAAAGAAAAGTGCATCCTCAGAAACTCCTACTTCTGAATCAAGTAACGCACTGGGTCGTCCAACTAGATCCAATGTTCATCGGCCCCGTGTTGTAGCAGAGTTATCACTAGCGTCCGCAATTTCATCTACTGCAGAAACCACTTATCCCGTGATACCAACAAATAATCAAACACTAAACAAAAAAGTGAGTCACAAAACCAAACACCACAAAAAATATTCATAAAATAGTGAATAAAAGAAATTGTCATGATTTTCTCTCTGTATGTATATTAACACATTTATCAATCTCTATGGGAATGTTGAGTATTTTGTATATGGGGTTGATTTTGTGTTGATGATTTTTCGTTGTAATATTGGTGTTTGAATGTTTGGTGAATGATGATAATGGAGAGCACTGGTGTTCCCTGTTATGTTTCCGTTGTTCAGGTTGTGTGTGTTTTGATGGTTTAGTTTGTGTAATGCATGTAAGTACTCTCAACCAATCCACTTGTTGCTTGTTAACATATGTGGGTGTAATGAGAGTGACATTGATGGTTGGACAGATTTCTCGTTGGACGACGATGTTAATTTGCGTAGTCGTGTTCCATGTTCTGTCTACATGATGATGAAGGAGTGTGTGTTGTACATGTTTTATTTTGTGTGTGTATGTGAATGTTGAGTATTTTGTATATGGGGTTGATTTTGTGTTGATGATTTTTCGTTGTAATATTGGTGTTTGAATGTTTGGTGAATGATGATAATGGAGAGCACTGGTGTTCCCTGTTATGTTTCCGTTGTTCAGTTTGTGTGTGTTTTGATGGTTTAGTTTGTGTAATGCATGTAAGTACTCTCAACCAATCCACTTGTTGCTTGTTAACATATGTGGGTGTAATGAGAGTGACATTGATGGTTGGACAGATTTTTCGTTGGACGACGATGTTAATTTGCGTAGTCGTGTTCCATGTTCTGTCTACATGATGATGAAGGAGTGTGTGTTGTACATGTTTTATTTTGTGTGTGTATGTGAATGTTGAGTATTTTGTATATGGGGTTGATTTTGTGTTGATGATTTTTCGTTGTAATATTGGTGTTTGAATGTTTGGTGAATGATGATAATGGAGAGCACTGGTGTTCCCTGTTATGTTTCCGTTGTTCAGGTTGTGTGTGTTTTGATGGTTTAGTTTGTGTAATGCATGTAAGTACTCTCAACCAATCCACTTGTTGCTTGTTAACATATGTGGGTGTAATGAGAGTGACATTGATGGTTGGACAGATTTCTCGTTGGACGACGATGTTAATTTGCGTAGTCGTGTTCCATGTTCTGTCTACATGATGATGAAGGAGTGTGTGTTGTACATGTTTTATTTTGTGTGTGTATGTGAATGTTGAGTATTTTGTATATGGGGTTGATTTTGTGTTGATGATTTTTCGTTGTAATATTGGTGTTTGAATGTTTGGTGAATGATGATAATGGAGAGCACTGGTGTTCCCTGTTATGTTTCCGTTGTTCAGTTTGTGTGTGTTTTGATGGTTTAGTTTGTGTAATGCATGTAAGTACTCTCAACCAATCCACTTGTTGCTTGTTAACATATGTGGGTGTAATGAGAGTGACATTGATGGTTGGACAGATTTCTCGTTGGACGACGATGTTAATTTGCGTAGTCGTGTTCCATGTTCTGTCTACATGATGATGAAGGAGTGTGTGTTGTACATGTTTTATTTTGTGTGTGTATGTGAATGTTGAGTATTTTGTATATGGGGTTGATTTTGTGTTGATGATTTTTCGTTGTAATATTGGTGTTTGAATGTTTGGTGAATGATGATAATGGAGAGCACTGGTGTTCCCTGTTATGTTTCCGTTGTTCAGGTTGTGTGTGTTTTGATGGTTTAGTTTGTGTAATGCATGTAAGTACTCTCAACCAATCCACTTGTTGCTTGTTAACATATGTGGGTGTAATGAGAGTGACATTGATGGTTGGACAGATTTCTCGTTGGACGACGATGTTAATTTGCGTAGTCGTGTTCCATGTTCTGTCTACATGATGATGAAGGAGTGTGTGTTGTACATGTTTTATTTTGTGTGTGTATGTGAATGTTGAGTATTTTGTATATGGGGTTGATTTTGTGTTGATGATTTTTCGTTGTAATATTGGTGTTTGAATGTTTGGTGAATGATGATAATGGAGAGCACTGGTGTTCCCTGTTATGTTTCCGTTGTTCAGTTTGTGTGTGTTTTGATGGTTTAGTTTGTGTAATGCATGTAAGTACTCTCAACCAATCCACTTGTTGCTTGTTAATATATGTGGGTGTAATGAGAGTGACATTGATGGTTGGACAGATTTCTCGTTGGACGACGATGTTAATTTGCGTAGTCGTGTTCCATGTTCTGTCTACATGATGATGAAGGAGTGTGTGTTGTACATGTTTTATTTTGTGTGTGTATGTGAATGTTGAGTATTTTGTATATGGGGTTGATTTTGTGTTGATGATTTTTCGTTGTAATATTGGTGTTTGAATGTTTGGTGAATGATGATAATGGAGAGCACTGGTGTTCCCTGTTATGTTTCCGTTGTTCAGGTTGTGTGTGTTTTGATGGTTTATTTTGTGTAATGCATGTAAGTACTCTCAACCAATCCACTTGTTGCTTGTTAACATATGTGGGTGTAATGAGAGTGACATTGATGGTTGGACAGATTTCTCGTTGGACGACGATGTTAATTTGCGTAGTCGTGTTCCATGTTCTGTCTACATGATGATGAAGGAGTGTGTGTTGTACATGTTTTATTTTGTGTGTGTATGTGAATGTTGAGTATTTTGTATATGGGGTTGATTTTGTGTTGATGATTTTTCGTTGTAATATTGGTGTTTGAATGTTTGGTGAATGATGATAATGGAGAGCACTGGTGTTCCCTGTTATGTTTCCGTTGTTCAGGTTGTGTGTGTTTTGATGGTTTAGTTTGTGTAATGCATGTAAGTACTCTCAACCAATCCACTTGTTGCTTGTTAACATATGTGGGTGTAATGAGAGTGACATTGATGGTTGGACAGATTTCTCGTTGGACGACGATGTTAATTTGCGTAGTCGTGTTCCATGTTCTGTCTACATGATGATGAAGGAGTGTGTGTTGTACATGTTTTATTTTGTGTGTGTATGTGAATGTTGAGTATTTTGTATATGGGGTTGATTTTGTGTTGATGATTTTTCGTTGTAATATTGGTGTTTGAATGTTTGGTGAATGATGATAATGGAGAGCACTGGTGTTCCCTGTTATGTTTCCGTTGTTCAGTTTGTGTGTGTTTTGATGGTTTAGTTTGTGTAATGCATGTAAGTACTCTCAACCAATCCACTTGTTGCTTGTTAACATATGTGGGTGTAATGAGAGTGACATTGATGGTTGGACAGATTTCTCGTTGGACGACGATGTTAATTTGCGTAGTCGTGTTCCATGTTCTGTCTACATGATGATGAAGGAGTGTGTGTTGTACATGTTTTATTTTGTGTGTGTATGTGAATGTTGAGTATTTTGTATATGGGGTTGATTTTGTGTTGATGATTTTTCGTTGTAATATTGGTGTTTGAATGTTTGGTGAATGATGATAATGGAGAGCACTGGTGTTCCCTGTTATGTTTCCGTTGTTCAGGTTGTGTGTGTTTTGATGGTTTAGTTTGTGTAATGCATGTAAGTACTCTCAACCAATCCACTTGTTGCTTGTTAACATATGTGGGTGTAATGAGAGTGACATTGATGGTTGGACAGATTTCTCGTTGGACGACGATGTTAATTTGCGTAGTCGTGTTCCATGTTCTGTCTACATGATGATGAAGGAGTGTGTGTTGTACATGTTTTATTTTGTGTGTGTATGTGAATGTTGAGTATTTTGTATATGGGGTTGATTTTGTGTTGATGATTTTTCGTTGTAATATTGGTGTTTGAATGTTTGGTGAATGATGATAATGGAGAGCACTGGTGTTCCCTGTTATGTTTCCGTTGTTCAGTTTGTGTGTGTTTTGATGGTTTAGTTTGTGTAATGCATGTAAGTACTCTCAACCAATCCACTTGTTGCTTGTTAACATATGTGGGTGTAATGAGAGTGACATTGATGGTTGGACAGATTTCTCGTTGGACGACGATGTTAATTTGCGTAGTCGTGTTCCATGTTCTGTCTACATGATGATGAAGGAGTGTGTGTTGTACATGTTTTATTTTGTGTGTGTATGTGAATGTTGAGTATTTTGTATATGGGGTTGATTTTGTGTTGATGATTTTTCGTTGTAATATTGGTGTTTGAATGTTTGGTGAATGATGATAATGGAGAGCACTGGTGTTCCCTGTTATGTTTCCGTTGTTCAGGTTGTGTGTGTTTTGATGGTTTAGTTTGTGTAATGCATGTAAGTACTCTCAACCAATCCACTTGTTGCTTGTTAACATATGTGGGTGTAATGAGAGTGACATTGATGGTTGGACAGATTTCTCGTTGGACGACGATGTTAATTTGCGTAGTCGTGTTCCATGTTCTGTCTACATGATGATGAAGGAGTGTGTGTTGTACATGTTTTATTTTGTGTGTGTATGTGAATGTTGAGTATTTTGTATATGGGGTTGATTTTGTGTTGATGATTTTTCGTTGTAATATTGGTGTTTGAATGTTTGGTGAATGATGATAATGGAGAGCACTGGTGTTCCCTGTTATGTTTCCGTTGTTCAGGTTGTGTGTGTTTTGATGGTTTAGTTTGTGTAATGCATGTAAGTACTCTCAACCAATCCACTTGTTGCTTGTTAACATATGTGGGTGTAATGAGAGTGACATTGATGGTTGGACAGATTTCTCGTTGGACGACGATGTTAATTTGCGTAGTCGTGTTCCATGTTCTGTCTACATGATGATGAAGGAGTGTGTGTTGTACATGTTTTATTTTGTGTGTGTATGTGAATGTTGAGTATTTTGTATATGGGGTTGATTTTGTGTTGATGATTTTTCGTTGTAATATTGGTGTTTGAATGTTTGGTGAATGATGATAATGGAGAGCACTGGTGTTCCCTGTTATGTTTCCGTTGTTCAGGTTGTGTGTGTTTTGATGGTTTAGTTTGTGTAATGCATGTAAGTACTCTCAACCAATCCACTTGTTGCTTGTTAACATATGTGGGTGTAATGAGAGTGACATTGATGGTTGGACAGATTTCTCGTTGGACGACGATGTTAATT